CATCCCCTTTTAAAAGGATCTATCAGACCTCTTGGCCAATGGGATTCAACCTCTGTTCCTGCCGGAACAGAGGACCTTGGTGGAAACCTCGGTCAATCTGTCAATGGGGGGGGGGGAATATCTAACAATTTTGATATTTATAAAAATGTACATTAATATATACAATCAGAATTCTGGGCATTTGATTATTCAGTGCAGAAATTATTCCCAATCCTGAAGAGTTTGTACTTTTGCACCAATTCATGTTGTAACCATTTTGAACATTCTGTAGTTTGTCCTATCCCTTATAGCCTTCTTGTACTACCATTGGGAATGATTCAGGATTGTTTTTCTAATTATTTAAAAATGGCTACAATTGGAACTGAAGAAAAGAGGGGTAATGTCTGTAATCAGCTTGCTAAGATCTCCTTACTGAATAGTGAGACAAATTTAGGTCACCAAGGGTCACCATAGAGAATTTCTCTATGACATTTGCACGATAGTGATTATCTCCAAAAACATCCAGAGCTCAAGCTAAAAATGGGCATGACCATCTGTTTTCATGAATGGAGATCTTCTGTGAATACTTCTTTTGAAGGCTCAGGTGAACCTTTTTGGCCATGGCAACAGTTTTATGTATTTTGATTATGTGTGTGCTAATTTATAGTTATGGCAGTAGGGAGAAGAGTCTCTTCAATATTAGTTGTGCATTTGGTAATAATTTTATAATTTTACAGTAACTGTAGCTATTGCTGAAATAGCTGCCTGGGGAATGGGGGGATCTACATTACGGGCAGTTGATTATATTTTTCCCTGCTTTTTAATGTCGCAGTTTATTGAATTATTCCAAAATTTCTCTTCCTCACTTAAATATGTATAACCCACACAGTACAAGGAAGCATCCAAGTAACAATCTTGAATAGCAGTTTACTATTTTAATTAGTTCCAAAAATTCAAGAGCTCAAGATTATGTACACAGAGCTTCCTATTTTTCTTAACAGCAATCCTGTGAGAAGGTTGGGCTCAGAGATACTTGAATATGCTTTGTAATAATAGGACATGGTAGAAATACATGTAAGTAAATCATGCATTATAGGGTTTCCTGCCTAAGCAGAGGGTTGGACTAGAAGGCCTCCAAGGTCTCTTCTCTATTATTCTATTCTGTTCCTGTTCCATTCTATTCTTTGTCCCCAATGCCCAATCTGGCATTTGAGCAGATATTTTATTACTATTATTATGATTGGTTGCACAGTCAACCAGATGTTTAGACTGGATGAGTCCTCAAAGATCTGGGAAACACAGATGTTTGCTGGTGTTAAAGGTATTGTGCAGGACATAAACAGTTCCAAGTAGAGCTTCCTTTTGCAACTGACTGATGGTAATTCTGGGGAAGAAAACCCAGTACATTGTTCTTTTGCCTTTCTCCGAGTTTGTAGATCTGATGGGAAAGAATTAATAGCTTTTCATTTCTCCATATTCATAGCCACTTTAAATGCAATTCCTTCTCCTTAGCAGCATGATAATAGAACTCTGAAAAATTCACATTCAATGTGCATGTCTATTTATCTCCCTGCTTCTGGACCAAGCAACCTTCGCAAATATTGAAGCCACAGCTATTATAAAATTGAGTTTCCAGAAGGCAAACTAAAACTGGACCATCCACATGCAGTTTGTTCAGATATTGCACAAATAAATGCAGATTGGAATAAACCCATTCCACTCTTCCTTGTTAGCCTGCCAGGTATGGTGACAAACCTGGTATTTCTTTACATTGACCTTTACAGAGCGATTGGGCAATATTGATCCTTCGAATTGTGCCAGTTAATCACAAACTAGGGAGGGAGAAACAAAGTTATCCTGGAAAAAATGAATTTGGTGCGGCACTAAAGGAAATATCCTGCTCCGCCACCTCTTCTTCACTCTAATGCTTCAAATTGGCCTCTCCAGATGACAATGCACCTAGAAGCAGCAAGCCCAAGAAAGTGCTTCTTTTCTTCAGCTGCTTCTGTCACTCTGTGCAAAAGACCAGAGGTCTCCCAAAGGTTGCAACTCCCGCACCTTAATATACTTTAATCCTGAAGGTTCCTTGGTGCTGTCTGAGCTTGTCTTCTTGCAGATGTTTCATTGACAAACTTGGTGCTTACAGAATTTTCATCATTAATTTCCCAACATATAGACTGATTTAACCAGAGTTTCAATTGGGAAAATGCGACCATCCTAGTTCAAGTCAAGTCCAAAGACATCAGGGAATTTCTAGAAACCTGGCACTCTGACAAAGCCATTTAAAGAGTCCATTTAAACTCACGCCAACTGCTTCGGTGACTCCATCCAGCCACCTCATTCTCTGTCGTCCCCCTTCTTCTTTTGCCCTCAGTCTTTCCCAGCATTAGGCTCTTCTCCAGTGAGTCCTACAACGACTATGGACTATGCAAAAGAGACACTCAAGCAGGGAACAAAAAGGCCTAAGCACTTTTCTCCCAGCAATCAGCACCCAAATCAGCAAAGATCAACTCCAAGGTTAACGTCAGACAAGTAATCAAGTTAACGATACCCCCAATCAAGAAACTGCCAAAGAAGCCAACAGCAAAGAGCCCGATCAAAGAATCTCTAAGACCGCCTCCACCAACACTTGGCAGGGCAAGGCACCAGAATATAAACTGACAGCAAACAGCACTCCTTACTAGCACTGATGACGCTACCTAGTTTAAGGAATAAAACATCTGCAAAAAAACAAGCAAGCTCAGAGAGCCCCAAGGGCCCCTCGTGTCAACCCTCAGCTGAAAAATATTCCCCTTTATTAATACTTCATCCTTTTGCAGGCATGCAGGTCTCTCGCTTTACTGCTGCCCTAGTTCTCAGCCGAGACCGAATATGGAGGACGCGAGCTNCTGGATTACTGAGAATTTCTACAGACTTTTACGAGATAGTGTGCTTATTTTCAAATATCAAAGTTAGAATATGAAAGTTTATCTAATATTATAAAATGGAGGCTTCTTATAAGATGCCTATATGAAATAGGTATCTCTGGTGATTTCTGTATGACTTATTCAAATAGCAGTAATAATTAAGCTTTGTTCCAAACCTTCTACATTGTTTGGTCAGTTTAATCTTTAGAGAAATTGAGTGAGCTTTTAATGAGGGTGCTGCAATATCAGACTTTTTTTTCTGAATTTGATTTTAACAATCTGGTTCACACTGATGCTTGGCCTTTTATGTTTTCTATTATTACAGGTTGTGGACTAGTTCAGGTTTTTTTTTCCATCACTAAAATCTATGTCTTTCGACTTGCCTAGGATGCCAGCTATACTGGATGGGGATGAAGCAGTTAAAAAATGGCTTGACTTCGCAGAAATACCCACAGAATCAGCACTTCACCTTATCCAGCCCACAGAAAACATTTCCTTCCATCCTGTGTCAACAATAGTGAACAACTCCCGAAATAATTCATTAGAATGCATTTTACCTATTGAATTGGATCCCAAGAAGGTATGTTTGCATTTCCTTTTCTAGGATATATTTTCAGCCTCCCAATCTATTTTACAGCCCTGTAATTTTATGATGGTCTCCCATCCAAACACTAAGCCTGGCTGACCCTGCTTAGCTTCTGAGATTGATTAAGATGCTGCCCTCTGCTTTTAGGCTAAGCATCTCTATGCAAAAGTAAATGTTGCATTCATGTTACTGATTGAGTTGGAGAACATGAAATTCAAAGATGGAGTGCATGTACAGCTTCTGCATCTGTATTCTGTTTAGCAGTTCATAGATAAAAAGTATTATTTTAGGGTCTTCATCAAACTTTCCTGGATATATTGGGATGCAAGATCCCAATAAACTGAAACTGCCCTCATCAGATATAAATTTGTTTTCTTGGGTGGAGTGATTTTTGGAAACTTTTTTTCTTTTCAGTACAGGTAGCCCTCGACATAACCATCTGTTTAGTGACTGTTTAAGTGTTATAATGGCATTGAAAAAAGTGACTTATGACTGTTTTTCGCATTTACAACCATTGTAGTATCCCCATGGTCACATGATCAATACTTGGCCACCTGGCAATTGGCTCATATTTATGACAGTTGCAGTATCCCAAGGCCATATGATCACCTTTGCAACCTTCTAACAAGCAAAGCCAATAAGGAAGCCAAATTCACTTTACAACTGTGTTTGTGATTCGTTTTAACAACTGGAGCAAGAAAGATGGTAAAATGGAGCAAAACCCACTTAACAACTGTCTCCCTTAGCTAATGGAAATTTTGGGCTCAATTGTGGTCATATTTTCATTTCACCAAGTTGAAATGCGGCCTGAAACTACTAGATTGTAATATCAAGATTTACTAAACTAGTCTGTGGTTTTGGATGGATTAGTCATAAACATCTTATTTTTCTTATTTTGTATTCCAGAATACCAAAATTAATGCAAGCAGTACAGTAATGCTTAACTGGTTAAAAAACAAAAGCCCCAGGAAAGATGACAAGGATGAAGACAATTTACCACAGTGGTCCAGTCAGTTCATCCAGACACCAACGTGTAAAAAAACTAGCATGGACTTAATGCACCAGTGGCTCAAAAAAGATGGAGAACCTCCTGCAAAGCAACTGAAAAAGCAGTAATAATTTGGTTATATTGCTTATTAACCGAGCCTGTTCTTAGCCAAAGAGGGTCTTATGTGTTGGGTTATTGCAATATTTAAATCTCCTGATTTAGATTGCAATATAGGTATAATCTATAAATAAATTATAAGACTTCAGATATGCTTCCTTCCTGATGCTGAGTAGGTGGGCTTTGACATTTAACACTTAGTTTCTTTTGTCTGAAACAAATAGAATATACATGCTAAGTGCAGCATTGACTTGACCTTTCCAATTTTGAAAAAGCAAGTGTGTTCCAAAATATGTAAGAAGGATTTAATGTTTTTTTTTCTTCTCCAAGGACACAAGCAGAGATTTGGTTTGTCATGGTTACCATCATAGTATTCACTCTGTGGATTGCTTCATCTTTTATGGAAATAAATAGGTCACTTGTTAATGCTGGAGATTTGCTGCTGCAATGCGGGAATGATAATTTATTTTATTCTGAAACCAGCTCAATTTTTTGCCCTTTTTTATCTGTTTTGGAAGATGTGGAATATCATCTGCATTCTGCAAGCAATTTACAAATATAATTCCTACAGGTTGGGAAGTTATTCCAAAAGGATCTTGTTTCACTCTTTTGGATTTACTATTTGTTCCAAACCTTTGATAGTATTGTTTAACACATTTATCAAAGCTATAATGATGATCAGGCCACCACTGTAGCCAGTATTTTGAATAGATGGTAAGAGAATAGCAAGGAAGAGAGAAAGAACTTGTTTTTTGGGGAAGTGAAGATAGGTAGCAGGAATGTTAGTTGGCTGTATTAAGGATAACTTGATATTTAGTAAAAATGCAATATTGTAAACTAAAGCTTTATAGGGTCAAGAGACAAAGGCAAAATGTTAGCTGTTTACAATTGAGTCATACTGGACTCAAGGCAAAGTGTGCAGTTCAACCCAAAAGACATCAGGACCACTATTGTCAAAAGGGACAGCGGGGTGTTTAAAACGGTACTTCAGAAGATAAATCCACCTTTATGCATAGGATCAACTTATTCCACTCACAGAGAGTACATGGCCTGAAATTTATGCAGATGTATATTCTTCACAAAATCCTAGGCTAAAGAGAGGAGAGAATATTTAACTTTAAAAAAAAGATACTTGGTTGCATATTTTATATTTGATATGCAGAAAGCTAGTTGGGCTCCAATTATTCAAAGTTCCTATGAAATGCATTAAATTCTGTTCACTATAAATAAGAAGGCAAATTTGGGATATTTTTAAAGGTTTTAATATATAAACAATGCTGATAGTATAAATAAAGATTTTGTGCAGTTAAACTTCTTTTGACATCATTAATTTCTTACCTTCTGACAACAGTTTTAGAAATAAAAAAGCATTTAGCTATCCATTTAATGTTTGCACGCATACTACAATTCCTACTAAATACAGTAAAATACAATTTACAGTGAGAGTTACTATAACATTTCCATTATTTTTGTTAGATCAGGTAAAGGAGGCACACAAGGTTTCAGTAACAACAGCTCTTTATTGCAAGTCAATTAAACATCCAGCTGAGGAATGGTCGGGCAGCATCCCCTTTTAAAAGGATCTGTCAGATCTCTTGGCCAATGGGATTCAACCTCTGTTCCCGCCGGAACAGAGGACCTTGGTGGAAACCTCTGTCAGTCTGTCAGTGGGGGGGGGGGAA